GGCCCCACCCCAGACCTACTGAATTGGAAATTCTGGGGGTGGGACCCAGGAAGCTGTGTGTTTTACTAACCCTTCAGGGGATTCTGATGCACGCAAACGTGTAAAAAGCCCCTCCTGAGGCCAGGGTCTTTTTAGTTTCTGAAATGGACACTTTGTACATCTGAGTGCTTACTGGAGCTTCAGGTTATCCCTTTCCTGAACCAGAAACAGGACAAAAATGATAGCAGTAATACTAATTGCTGGCTATTTTCATATAATATGGTGGTTAGAGACCATGGATTCTTTGGAGTTCTTTACCATCGTATGATCTTGGGCTAGTTAACCTCTCCGCCTTACTTCCTCAGCTGGGATGTGGAGCTGTCCCTCTCTTACAGTTGAGGAAACTGAAGGACAAGAACAGTTACAAAAGTTGCTTAGAGCCACTGTTCCCTGCAGCTGGAGGTTCATATTTGGACAGCCTGATTGCAGACTCTGGGCTCTCATGCACAGCTCTGCTCTCTGTCCCTCCTGTGTGCATTTCCAGCATTTCCATAGAATTCTCCTCCAACCTTGCCTCCACCTGTAGCCACGTGTCCCAGCCCAAAGGCGGTGGGTGGAACCGGCACATCCATTGTGTTGTGTCCCAGCAGGGGCAGGGCTCTTGCTGACACTTGACCATACGAAATTCAGTGCTTCCTAAAGTCAGAGCTTCTGGGTCCCCTTGGCAGAAGCAGACCTCTTAAGGGTAAAAGCTAACCACCCCCATCTTGGCGCCCAGTGGGAGCATTGTGGAAGCCTCTGGGCGTTGTGTTGGTTGTTGCTGTGGTTGTGGTGTCACGACCATTGAGTGGGCAGGCCCACGTGTACTAGATGGACTCAGAGTGGACAGTCGGGCGCAAGGGAAACTTGCATCCCACTGGGCTGTCAGATGTGCCACATCTAAATCTTGTTATTTTCCCTTTCTATTCCAGGTGGGAATGTTCACCTATGATCTCAAAAGTGTTTTTCTTTTTTTTTTTTGCAGGATTTTAATATACATTTGATATGCACTGAGTTTCTGAGGAATATAACTTGGGTGTTAATATATTTGGAGATTTATTTTATTAGTTTTAAACTTTACTAAGAGTTCACCTTTTCAGAAAATTTGTATCATGCTGTTCTGGCCTTTTTTTTTTTTTTTTTAAATCATTATTTATTTATTTGAGAGAGGATGGGCATGAGCAGAGGGGAGAAGCAGGGAGAGAGGGAGAAGCAGGCTCCACACTGAGCGGGGAGCCTGATGTGGGACTTGATCCCAGGACCCTGGGACCATGACCTGAGCTGAAGGCAGATGCTTAACTGACTGAGCCACCCAGGAGTCCCTGTTCTGGCCATTTGAAATGGCAAGAGAACACACATGATGTCTACATTTGTAGTGACTTCACTGTGGTGATTCAAGGAACAAACCTAATTTCTTCATGTCTCCTAGGGCCCCACTTCTCATTTAAAGTGCCCGTGAATTACCTGGGAATTTGTTGCACTGCAGATTGTGACTGGGGGATTTGCATTTGCATGGTGATTGAGATTTTGCATTTTTTAACAAGCCCTAGATGCTCCCACTAAAACTTATTTTAGAAAAAAATTTTAGAGTGAGGGCATTATATTGATTTTTTTTAAGAAAATACTGGTATCGGATAGTTATTGTTTATGAATTTCAGACTCGGGTAAAGGTATTATAAAATATATTTTTTCAGGATGGTGCATTGCTTTAGATGGGGTGAGAGCTACTGCTCTGGGTGATTAGGAAGATCTATCATAAATACAAATGGAATTACCCCACAGTCAAGAGAGAGTGATTCAGAATGTTTATTATGTTAATTATTCAAAACAGGTTATCATTCACTTATTCTTTTCTTTTCTCCCCCCCCCCCCCAAGTAGGCTCCATGCTCAATGTGGGGCTTGAGCTCATGACCCTGAGATCAAGAGTCACATGCTCTACTGACTGAGCCAGCCAGGCGCCCCACACTTATTCTTTCAACAAATATTTATTGAATACCTACGTGTGCTCTGTGCCAGGCACTGCTCTGTGTGCTTGGCATGTGTCTATGAACAAAATAAAGATCCTTGGTTTCATGGGCCTTACCTTCTAGTGGGGGAAACAGTACACATTGTAAGTAAATTACAGGGCATTTTAGGTGATAAGTGCTATGGATTATTGGAAGATTAGGAATGCTGGTTTTGAAGAGGACAGGGTGAGCAGATCCACTTTTAAATAAGGCCATCAGATTTCTCATTGAGAATATGAAATTTGAGCAAAGGCTTCAGGTGGTTATGTAGTTGGCCATGGATACCAAGGGAAAGCAATCCAGGCTGAGGGAACAGAGAGTACAAAGGCCCTGAGGCTTGAGGCCATCCAGCGGGCATGCTTGAGGAACTGCAGGGAGACCAATGTGGCTGGAGTAGAGTCGGCTAAGGCAAGTGTGGTTAGGAATGAGGTCAGAAAGGTAATAGGGGCAGATCACACAGGGCCTTGTAGGACATCATAGGGCCTTTGCTTTTTACTCTTGAGTTGGGAAGTTAATGCAGGTTTTGAGCAGGAGTAACATCTTATTTAAGTTTTAAAAAACTCCCTGTGGCTGCTATGTTGAGAATGGCTTTCAGGGGGCAACAGTAGAAGCAAGAAAACCAGTTAGGATTCATTGCAGTGTCCAAGCATGAGATGATGGGGGGCCCCTGACCCAGAGAGGGTATTGGTGGTGGTGGGAAGGGGGGTTGGATTCTGGATGTATTTTCGTGCAATTTAGAATGCAAGATAAAAAGTTCTCACAACTCAAGGCTTCCAGCAGTACCCGTGTGGATCTGTGACCTGTGAGGAAAATCTGACGTGGTCGACAAAGTAACCATGGTTCTGTGTTCTTGTCCTTCCAAGGAGGGTGTCTGTGCATTGCATGCAGGCATGCCTGTGTTTGCAGGGCACATCTCTCCAGGCTCGTGGTTAGCCGTCAGATATGCTGAGCCGCTGAGGTGGAGTACCTTTAGAGCAGAAAGTGAAGGAACTAACTGGTCCTGAAAGCCTCACACGTTTCCCCTTGATTAAGCCAGAACGTGTTTTTAGTAAAAATATATGCTGTTAATTAATGTTTCTTGTAATACTCTGATGGTGAATCAAAGATAAAAATTCAATTTTCTCATCCCATTCCCTTTCTGATCCCATTCGTCCCCCTTCTTTCTTAGGCTCCGAGACTATACAGAAATTTTGTTAGCACACTTGCTTTATTTAAGTTGACTGACACCTTTCTGATTTCAAATATGCATTATGTAGTTTTGCCCTCGATTTTCAAATAATTAATTTGGAAATGTGGGAGCAGTTTAAGATCTGTTGATAGGTGTATGCAGCTCATTTTCTGTGCAGGTCACGATTTCAGTGACCTTCGTGCTTGGAGGAGACTTGATTATCATAGAGCTAAACTTCCTGTAGCGGGGTCTTTTGAAAGCATGCCAAGACAGTGGCTTGCCAAGATGTTAGGTAGAGTACACACACAATTAAGTAAAGTTACATGGCACGTCTCCAGGAGACCTCGGCTCTCAGCCAGGCTGACCTTTCAGGTGCTTATATGTCATAAACTATTTTGTCCTAAGGCTTCCTGCTTAATCACAGCAGTGATTTTGATCAGTTGGGTTTTTTTTTCTTCATTTTACACTTGCAGCAATTCTTATGAAGATGAAATATATATTCTCATTCTTGTGCTGTGGCTAGCTAGCATTACCCCAGTGGTTACTAAGACCTTTTCTTGGCTTAGAGTGAGGGGGAACAGAAGGTAGCTTCATTTACTCAAACCTTTCCCTTTTATTCTTTCAAGTCTGTATTTTAAAGAACTCTGATTTGGTTCCATAGCTGAATGATTTGGACAGGGCAAAGTCTTTTTTTTTTTTTTTTAGCCTTGGGCTATTTCTAATGTGTTGTGACCTTGGGAAGAAAAGTTCTGTATCCAGTAGGAGATGTTTTTAAGGAGAGTATGAGTTGTAGCTATGTATTTTTAGACTACATTTTCATATGGCATTTGTACTTTGGTGGCATGGAGTCATGGAAATTTCTCTTCCTAGTCTTGGGTTGAGAAGACAGTATTTCAGTGCTGGCTCTGTCCAATTACTGTACTAGCTTAGTGAGCCTCATTCTTCTTATCTGTAAATGGGTGTGAAGATACATGCTTACCATTTACCTTATAATTTGGTAAAGATCAAGTGACCTAAGATGTATGAAAGAATTTTGCAAGCCCTAAACTTCCCTTCAGATGCTGCTGGTCATGGTATTGTGGTAATCACAAAGCTTGGGCCTATGAACCCGTTGTTTCTGTCTTTAACAGAACTTAAAGTGGAGTGAGCCATTTTTCCTAAACATAAATAAAATAGAGATGTGTATAGGGGCTGGCAGGGAAGGGAGAGCCCAACTATGGGGTCTTTAGAAACGATTCTAGTATACAAATTCTATGACTTTACGTTTCTGCGTGTGGGGGGGGAGTTTTGCTCATTTTTTCTTTTCCTGACTTAGTTAAAAATTTTTAAACTTACAGAATAATTGAGAGCATAGTATAATGAGCACCCACATACTCTATATTTAAGTTAACAGTTAATATTGTGCCACATTTATTTTTATCTCTGTACATTTGTGTATTGGTTTTATGTATTTATTATTTAAGATTTTATTTGTCAGAGAGAGGGAGAGAGCATGTGTGCACAAGAAGGGGGAGCGCCAAGCAGAGGGAGAAGAAGCAGGCTCCCTGCTGAGCAAAGAGCCTGATGCGGAACTTGATCCCAGGACCCTGGGATCATGACCTGAGCAAAGGCAGAGGTTTAACCGACTGAGCCACTCAGGCGTCCCTGTGTATTGGTTTTAAATATTCAATTTCTGCTCGCTCTTTGGTGTGTGTTCCAGCAGTTCTACAGAGTATAGCATAGTCGGTCATTACTGAGGCTGTAGTATGCTGGGTAAAGTTAGAGCTTTTATAATCTTTCTGATTAATTGATACCTTTTCTTGAACAGGATGAACTTACTGCTGTGAATGTAAAGCAAGGCTTCAACAATCAGCCAGCCTTTACTGGAGATGAACATGGCTCAGCCAGAAATATTGTAATTAACCCATCAAAGGTAATGCAAATTGTCTATTTCCTAAAACTTCTGAAAAAGTGTGTGATACCCTGAAAAGTGTGTGTGAATGTTGATAAATTAGTGTTATTTAAAACCACAATCCATATTCAGAATTCCCCAGAATACCTTGTATGACGTCCTGCCCTAGGACCCAATCAGGGATCATGCATTGCATTTGGGTGTCTTGTCTCTTCCGTCTATTGTAATCTAGCACAGTACTGCTCTCCGCCTTTGCTCATGTTGTTATTTTTGGGAGAGGGAGGGCTTTCAGACCTGCTGTCCAGTTATGCCTTTTTTTTTTTTTTTTTAAGATTTTATTTATTTGAGAGAGGGAGAGTAAGAGCACAAGCGGGGCAAGGAGCAGAGGGAGAGGGAGAAGCAGGCTCCCCGCTGGGCAGGGAGCCTGATGCGGGGCTTGATCCCAGGATTCTGGGATCGTGACCCAAGCTGAAGGCAGATACTCAACCGAATGAGGAACCCAGGTGTCCCCAGTTATTTTCTTATATTCTAGTCCTACATTCTAGATTTGTCTGATTGTTTTTTTCCTGACAAGGTTCAGGTTAAATATTTTTGGCAAGAAGACCACATTGCATATCAGAAGACATGCAGTGCCAGTTTGCCCTGTTATTGGTTATACTATGTTTGATGATCGAAGGTAGTGTCTGCTGTCACTTTACATTGTAAAAGTAGTTATCTTTTCCTTGTAGTAATCCCTGTAGGGTGATACTTTGAGACCAAATGAATATGCTATTCTTCAATAGTTTTATCTTGTGATTGTATCATCAGTTGATAATGCTTGCTGAATGAGTTATTTTGCTGGTGGTTGCAGAATGCTGGTTTTCCAGTTGTCATTTCTCATACATTTATTAGATGGCATTCTTTTGTAAAAGCACACCTCATTTTAAAATTTATTTTATTTTTTATTATTTTATTGTTTTAAGTAGGCTCCGTGCCCAATGTGGGGCTTGAACTCACCACCCTGAGGTTAAGGGTTGCATGCTTTACCGACTGAGCCATCCAGGTACCCCAAAAACTCCATTTTTCTTTTTTTAAAGTAATCTCCACACCCAGTGTGGGGCTTGAGCTCAGGACCCTGAGATCAAGAGTTGGATGCTCCACCCACTGAGCCAGCCAGGTGCCCTGACATCCCATTTTTTAGTATCACTTTGAACTCCAGGACTCTTTAAAATTTGATGTATCATCTTTTCTCTTTTTGATGTTTAAATTGTCTCTCACTTGGCCAGGGGGTGCCTTTAACCTATTTCTTGGGTGCTTTCGACATCCCCATCATTCTTTGAGCACTTCCTCACCTTTGATAAAATAACATATTCAGATTCATGTTCTTTCTGTGCACCAGCCCAGATCTGGATGCTTGGCATGCTCATTGCGACTAGAGTATCATAACTTCTAGGTCCTTTCAGTGGACAGAGATGGGAAACAACATAGATTTGTTTTTTCTCTTCTCTTGTCTTCTCTCCTTTTTCTTCTTTCCTTGCATCCGTCTTCCAGTTCTTACCCAATACCACAGGGTTTTTCCTCTTTTGTGTTCCATCTTTTTATCTCATTTCTCCCAAAGTGAGAACCCTGGCTTTTAGTAAATTCAATATATCTATTTATTTACTCTTTTTTAAAATACACATTAAAAAGTTCCAGAATAAACTATAGTAATGCTACTCCAACAACAAAATTGCTGTGGAAAATTTATAATTTTCCTATTATACTTTTTGTCCTTAGACTAATGTTCATTAAGGGTATATAGTCAGAATGTTGTGTTAAAAATTTTCTTGAGGGGGCGCCTGGGTGGCTCAGATGGTTAAGCGTCTGCCTTCAGCTCAGGTCGTGATCCCAGAGTCCTGGGATCGAGTCCCGCATCGGGCTCCCTGCTCCTTGGGAGCCTGCTTCTCCCTCTGCCTCTCTCTCTCTGTCTCTCATGAATAAATAAATAAAATCTTTAAAAAAAAAAAAAAATTTTCTTGAATCTCTCTGTATGGTTGTTAATAAGTATAGGTAGAATTATTTGCTTGTTTATATTCTTTTAAGATTTGATTTTCTCATCCTTCTTGAGTTATTTTTATTTTCTGAATTTGAAGTATTTTTATTAAATTGAAAGCATTATACAAATGAAATCAAACATACAAATATACTTCCTTCCCCTTCCCCAGAGCTAACCATTGTCAGGGATTTGTGTATCATTTAAGATCTGTGTGTGCAGATGTACACAAATATACTTGATAATTTGCTAATCAACTGAAATATGTAAACGATGTGAAAGGAAACAGCATTTTCTACAGATAACCCCATAACCAAACACAATGTTTTTAGTTTTGTCTTTTTCCAGTCTTCGTGTACTTTTTTTTCTTTTAAAGATTTTATTTATTTGACAGAGAGAGACACAGCGAGAGAGGGAACACAAGCAGGGGGAGTGGGAGAGGGAGAAGCAGGCTTCCCGCGGAGCAGGGAGCCCGATGTGGGGCTCGATCCCAGGACCCTGGGATCATGACCTGAGCTGAAGGCAGACGCTTAACAACTGAGCCACCCAGGTGCCCACCAGTTTTTGTATACTTTTTAACATCACAACCACAATTACATATATGTTGTAATTGGTTTTCTTTTTGTAAATTGTGGTAAAATATATGTAACATAAAATTTACCATTTTACCATTTTTATTTTATTTTATTTTACTTATTGGAGCCTAACACAAGACTTGAACTCATGACCCTGAGATGAAGACCTGAGCTGAGATCAAGAGTCAGATGCTGAACTGACTGAGCCACCCAGGCGCCCCTTAACATTTTAAAATGTACAGTTCTTTGGCATTTAATGCATTCACATTGGCGTGTAACCATCACCACCATCTTCAGAACTTTTTTGTCTTATGTTTTTTTTTTTAAAAAAAGTAACATTATTTTGTATGCACTTTTCCTTGAGGCTGAAGTATTCATATTAATAATTATTAATGGACAGATAACATTTTATCATTTACATGCTATAATGACCTGAAACTGCTAGTATATAATAATTAGCCTATTGCTAATTTCTTATGGTTATTTATGAAGAGGCTGTAGTCGTATTTGAACATACAGCTTTTGTCCTTTTGGATAAATTTCCAGAAGCGTATTTACTTGGGTAGAAGGTGTCTTCGTCTGTTTGGGCCGCCATAACAAAATACCGCAAACTGGGTGGCTTAAACAACAGGAATTTAATTTTCTGAGAAACAATTTATTTTCTCACAGTCGAGGAGGCTGGTAGTCCAAGATCAAGGTGTCAGTAGGCCTGGTTTCTTCTGAGGGCTCTCTCCTTGGCTTGCACGAGGCTGGCCTGTCAGTCTGTCCTCACACAGTCTTTCCTCTGTGAGCGTGTATTCTGTTTCTTATAAGGACACCAGGCCATTGGATTAAGCCCCGCCCTTTTGACCTCATTTGACCTCTTTAAAGGCCTTGTCTCCAAATACAGTCACATTGGGGATTAGGGCTTCAACATCCGAATTCAGCCCATAACAGAAAGTATGAATGCTGTGTGTCTCTGGATATGAACTGCCAAGTTATTCTGTTGTATCAAGTTTTATGTCAATTTAAATAACTGAATAAATGGAAATAACACCCATTACAGCTTCTGCTTTTGCCAACCCTTCCTGTGAGATTTACTCAAGGATTCAAACCTTCTGAAGGGAATTTGAGCTTATAAATATGGAATACATGAACTATAGTGTAGTCCCTAAACTTTTTTCCATTTTCTTATAAAATGAATTACTTTCAAAATAGCTTTGGATGGATGGAAACAAGTTTTATTTATTTATTTATTTTTAAAAGATTTTATTTATTTATTTGACAGAGAGAGACACAGCGAGGGAACACAAGCAGGGGGAGTGGGAGAGGGAGAAGCAGGCTTCCCGCCGAGCAGGGAGCCCGATGTGGGGCTCGATCCCAGGACCCTGGGATCATGACCTGAGCCGAAGGCAGATACTTAACAACTGAGCCACCCAGACGCCCCTGGAAACAAGTTTTAAATTAAACAACTTCTCTCCTACCTTGTCTGAGGGGAGTGCACATTGGTCTGAAGCTTATGGAGGGCAATTTAACAGTGCTGATTAAAATTACAGAATCGTACAATCTGAATTCTGGAAATTTATCTGAAATCTGTAGTTGTACATGTATGCGATAACAAATAGGAGAAGTTATTCATTTTAATGTGATTTGTAATAGCAGAAGTTTGGGGAGAACACTCCAGATGTCTGTTAACAGGGGCTTGATTATATACAAATACGGTGCACCCACACAGTACATCATTTGTGAAAGTGAAAAGAGATTTTCCGTGTACAGATGTGGAAGGCTCTCAGACATTTACTAAATGTACACAAAGAGGTATACATGTAAAAAAGAGAAAGTAATATATTCGTGTTTGTTCATGCATATTCACCCGAAGAAACCCTGGGAAGACATAAGAAACTAACCAACGTGGTTACTTGGAGGTAGGCATTGGGACTTGGGAATGAGGCTCTTTACTTTTTTAGGTTTGGAATAATGTGAATATAAAATTAAGTGCATGGTCGTGTTTTGATTTTTTCCTCCCCTTTCTCTCTTTTAGGGAATTTTGACTTAGTTTACAGTGTGCAGTGTGTCCTGAGGTTTGTTAGGATGTAAAACGGCACATACAGTCACATGTTCCATTGTTATTAAATACAAAAATTATAATTGTAAAACAGATTGCTGACTAGTTTTTAAAAAAAATTTTATAACTTTGTTTATTACGATTAAAATACTCCTACATAATTGCAAATAAGAGGCCTTTTAAATTTAAACGGTCAGTGTAAGTAGGGGTTTTAAGTTCTTGGTATAAAGACCAAATATTGATTGAGAAATTTAAAATTAAACAATTTGCTGTTGGCTGCTTGTTCCTAAACAACTCGTTTTGCTAAATTTTTGCATTTATTTCCCATTTAAACATTCTGCAAACATTTGCTTAAAAAAAAAAACACACCACGAAGTTTGTTTAAAAAAGAAGTAAAGCTCAGATCTTTTTTCTAATTACTCTAATTTTTTATTACCATATTAACACACCAAAATAGACTTTTTTTTGTTGTCCATAAATCACAAGGGTCAAGGAATGCCAGTTCACATTAAGTAAAAGTGTACCAGCTTTTCACCCTTGTAGATAAACTTGACTAATTGCTAACAACTGTGTTTCAACCTACGAACTAATTGTTTATTGACTCATGAGCATTAACTAAGGTGGTGATTCTTATTTTGCTTCACCAGGGTAGGTATTTTATTTTAATCATGGTTGCCACTGTTGGCTAACCTCACCTGTTGTTTGTATCATATTATTAAACAATTACCAGCGAATGGAATAGGATTCTTGGCAATTCCAAGTTTTCTGTGGATTCACTTAAGTTTTAGGTATTTATCCCTTTCCTTCTTGTGCCTTTCTTCCTCTTTTGTTCTCTTAGTTTGGTTAATATGAAAATGCCACAGTTGTTCACAGGAACTCCCTTTGCTACTTTATTCCATTCAGAGCAGGTAACACTAGCTTTCTCTTGAAATACTTGTACTCTTGAAATTGGCAGCCCAGTTAAAAATGTTGAATACTTAATTGAACCTTTTGTAATTTTCCATTTAAATAATTTTTTCTAGACTCCTTTTGTTGAAAAGCACTGTGAATACAGAATTTTCCTTACCAAAAATATATGCTATTAAGATGAAACCAGAAAAAGAATGATTACTGTGTGATTACTAGACTTTCTGCTCTTGCATGCAACACCTCTCAGGAAACATACTCTCTCCAAATGTGTATGTAGTCTGAAAAAGAAGTACAGCTGAAGAGTAAAGCAGAACCCATTCTCTTGAAATTTATTCAGGATGTAATTAATTTCATCTTATTTTCAAAGGCTCTTCTTTTTTCCTTGAACCACTTGTTAATAGTGGAACAAAAGTGCTGTGGGAGTTTTTGCATTATGTTAGTATAAGGAAATCAGAACTCTTGGCTTCAAGGACTTAAATTGCCATTTATTTTCTGATGGGCTGCTTGAAGATATTCTCCTAAAACAAAAATAAAATACTGCTATACGTTACTAATATACATACTGTCTTCAAACTTTTTCTTTTTTTCTCTCGTTTCCACAGATTGGAGCTTATTTCAGCAGCATATTAGCTGAGAAACTAAAGCTTAACACTTTCCAGGACACCGGAAAGAAGAAACCACAAGTTAATGCTAAAGATAATTATTGGCTGGTTACTGCTCGATCCCAGAGTGCAATTCATAGTTGGTTCTCTGACTTAGCAGGAAATAAACCACTTGCTATTTTGGCAAAAAAGGTATTAAGTGTTTCTTACATTGTTTTAATTATGGTCTTCTAGAAATCACGATGTTTGCGCTAATGTTCAAGTATGTATTGCTTTCCCCCTGTTCTTTCCAAAACTCAAAGCTTCAGTGCAGGTACACTGTTACCAGGTGTGTGCTGCACATAATGCTGTTTCTCCCTTTTTTTGGATGGCATGTGGTTCCTGGTACATCTTGACCTAAACATTCCATACAGGAAGCAGTTTATGTGGGCTTTATTTATTTTTTAAGATTTTATTTGAGAGTGAGCGAGAGAGCAAGTACAAGCTGGGGGAGGGAGAAGAAGACTCCCTGGTGAGCAGGGAGCCCGATGTGGGGCTTGATCCCAGGACCCTGGGATCATGACCTGAGCCGAAGGCAGACGCTTAAACTGACTGAGCCACCCAGGCACCCCTATGTGGACTTTAGGTAGATGAGTTTTTTAAATCGAGAGTAGGCAATAAGACTTTATTTCCATTACATTTTCAGTTTTCTTAGGCCAGGATGTCCAAAATGTGTCATTTGGAAATTCTTGCTTTGATGTTACTTTCTTGTCTTGAAAAGTACCAATCCAAATGCTTTAAGCTAAGTCTCCTTCCTAACAAGTAAGATAGCAGTTCTGGGTGTGCTTGAAAAACTTCTTTGAAAAAGTTTCAGAACAAAATGGGCAGGTGTATTTATAACTTCCAGTGATCTCTGTCTTGCACACCTTTGAAATCATCCCACGTGTCTTTCTCATCTGGCCTGAAACCCTTTAGTCTTTAGGGTGTCCATCTTCTGTTCTTGATAGTGTTATTAACTAGTGTGGTGCAGGCCTGGCTTAAAGGAGAGCTCCTTTTTGTATTTGTTTTCTAAAGCAACTCTCTGAAAATAGCCTGTAGCTCCCACTGGCTTTTTTTTCCCCCTAGTGCCGCCATCACATTGTGTTGCCTTGTGATTAAAGGCAACTGGAATCCTTGAAAAGCACAACAATCAGCATAATCACCTCTTGCTACTCAGGTTGTACCTGTCTCAACACAGGCTGAACCGTGTAGCATTTCTTTCCCGGTAGTGGACATTTACCACGTGGGCCCACGATGACCTGTAAATTGTGTCTGAAGGCCCCATAAGTCAAAGGCCATCCTTTGATATTTCATGGCTTTCTAACCAATAGTTCATGCCCTCCATGTTGATTAGGACCTTCAGTTCCCCTGTAGCTATCCTGACATCTTTCTTTTTAGGTTTTCCTTTTTTTAAAATGAGCTTTTAGAATCCCTTTTTTGGATATTTCCTGAAAGCGGATACTGGCGAGGAATTGATGCCCTTGCTTTAGGGGTGGAGTGGTTGCTCATCTTTGAGGAGGGAGATGAATCACAGTACATTGTATTAGCCATTGTTCTTCTCTTTATTAGGAGCTGTCTCTGGCCAAGTCAGGTGTCTCTCAGGTAAGCCCTGACATGAATTCTGTGCAAAGTTAAACTTTTTTTCTTTTTCTTTTTTTTTTTGGTAACACCATTGACTGTGCCTTGAAGTAGTCATTTCTTGGGCACTTGAAGAGTCCCTCCCTTCTCTCCTCCACTCCTCAGCATATCATATTCTTGAGATGGCAAAAACTCTTTTGGATCTGGGTAAAAAATTGCATTCTCTACCATGTTCTTCATATTAGAAAGTTCAAATACTTCTTTAATTTCTGGTATTTATGACATGGCTTAATGCAGAGGGCCTTAATTTTCCTGCTAAAATCTTGAGCCCTCTTCCAACTCTGTTCTAGAGTTCAGAATAGTTTCCTGTATGGAATAGGTCAAGTTTCTGGGCCTGGTTTTCCATTATTTTACAACTCCACAGCACTCCCAAGTATTTAGCCACAGAGAGGTCAGTAATGGCCTGTAAAGGGCCTTTTAACTCAATCATGGTCATCGGTAGATTTGGAAAAATAGACTTATAGGCTCTAGGGATATTCTTCTGGCTCTTGAAGAGTTCACTAGGTATGACATGTTCACTTCAGGTGATGTTGATTACTGTGGTCTCTGGAATTTCCTTTTGCCTCTACTTCTGCTTGGTGAACAGAGTATTGACAGTGACGTTCATCCAAGGGGAAGGGCACTACAAGGTGTTAAAGCCCTTTTGTGGATGAAAAACCATCACATGCTAAGTGTCTTAGTTTTCTTTTACTACTGGATGCAGCTCTAGCTTGGTTTAGAAACAAAACAGCTGGGTGCCTGGGTGGCTCAGTCGCTAAGTGTCTTCGGCTCATGTCATGATCCCAGAGTCCTGGGATCGAGCCCCGCATCGGGCTCCCTGCTCCGTGGGAATCCTGCTTCTGCTTGTGTTCCCCTCTCGCTGTCTCTCTCTCTGTCAAATAAATAAAAATAAAATCTTAAAACGAAACAGCTGTCCAGTGATTGCCTAGGTTCAGTTACAAGTTAAAGTTAGATGGTTTCTTTGCTGAAAATGGGATCCGTGACTGTAAGGAGGTCCTACTTCAGTCACTATAAACATAATTTCTTTCCTGAGTTGGTCCAAACTATAAATTTGATAACCATCAATATGTGTCTTCTTCCTTAATTAAATAGCCTTCTTCACATAAGTTCTTCTGAATTTTAAATCCCTTGATTTGAGCCAACCATGTCTTATGGGGTTCGGGGGCAATGAGCTGGAGGTATGCCTTAGCTTGTTAATGGTAAGACCTATGGCTCAGTTTTGTTTGCTATTTCATCTAAACATTTCACATGTTCAAGTTTTTATTTTTCTCCTGTCATTTGTTCAAAAGAAATCCTTTGGGCATCTATAGAAGATGCTATTAGTAATGTTTCTCTGGAGATGCTACATTTACTGTTTTGCTTTTGCCTATTTTTTAGGCCTTCATCTAGTACTCTTTTGGTTCATCTGAATGAGCGTCAACCTGACCTTGACAACTAAAATTTAACTCTCTCATAGTAGTGTTCTAGTGAAAAGCAGCATCTCAGGTCTTGCACTGAATATATAAGCCTGTGCTTTTCTTGTCCCTGGCTTGTGATAGTCTGTAAACCCAGAGTCTTGTGCTCCATGAAAGACGTGCCTTGTAAACAAAATTTTCAGGAAATTTTCTTGTTAAAATGTATCACTGTGGTCTGCAGAGAGGAGGCCTTATAGCTTTGGCCTATGTGACTTTCATCTCCCTTTTAGGTGTGTATGTGCAGTGTAGCTGCCTCTGTCATCGGGGTTATGTTTAAAGTCAGCACCCAAGGCAGGAATTGTATGTGACCAAAAGTCTATTAAGTTGCGCATGAAAGACAGTGTATGGACAGCTGCATCTCAGTGTGGAACCAGGCAGCTTTTCCTTCAGCATTGGGGCAGCTTGAATGTTTCTTTGGTAAGAACCAGGTGAAATAGCTTGTTTTAAAGGGCTGTGTACAAAACCCACTTCTCTTTTAATTCTGCGATCACACTTGGGTCCACGCTGGTGAATAGTCAAATTTGCAACATACAAATGATACAAAATATCCACTGTCTAAAGGAGGATTTGACTAAGAAAAATGCCATACTGTAACAATCAGCTGATTTGAAGTCTTTTGATATCCAAGGCAAAATCAAGCTAGGGTGTGGCACATAGAGACCAGGGCTCTTGATAACCATGGTGGTAGTGTCCAGAATCCTTTTAGGAGAGGGTCAAACGCCTGGCTTGAAACAGACTTTGGCTGGCACCTAGAAATCTTTGGAATTGGTAACAAAATAAAAACTGTTCTGGTTTTGATACATGTAATTCTTTTACCCTTCTGACAACTCTGTGGGGTGGACAGGGTTGTGTTGGTATTACCACATTCATAAATGAAGAGCCTGGGAGTAATGGGTTTAGCTGTACAGGCTGGGGGCCAGGACCAGAGCACAGAGGTGGTAGAGGGAGTGGTGGGTGCTTACTGCTCCCATCCTGTGTATCATGGCCAACGTACTCTGTCCACTGTTGTACTCTACATTCGTAAATTGAATAGATCATATATAGATGACTGGCCTGTGCCTAGGATATTTATGAGGAATTGTAGAAGAGTGGGTTAACTCTTTGAAACATTCAGTGGTACATTGGGATACTAATTTGCTAAATAGTACATCTTCGTGGTCTGGAAGAAATAATGAACTGCCTCAAGTGCCTACTTTCAACCAGTGAATTAATTAACCAGCTATTTCTAGCTCAGTGTTTATTAGGCAGATTAACTGATCCATCATTTTAGCCTCTATTTTAAATTTTGGGCTAAAGGCGCTTTAGAAGCTTTCTAGAAATTATTATGACTGTTACAGCCAGAAAGCTTTTTTTTTTTTTTTAAAGATTTTATTTATTTATTCGAGAGAGAGAATGAGAGAGAGAGAGCATGAGAGGGGGGAAGGTCAGAGGGAGAAGCAGACTCCCCGCTGAGCAGGGAGTCCTATGTGGGACTCGATCCCAGGACTCCAGGATCATGACCTGAGCCGAAGGCAGTTGCCCAACCAACTGAGCCACCCAGGCGCCCGCCAGAAAGCTTTATATAAAAAAGTGTTCTTTGATAAAATTTGGAGTGGGGACAGTTTTTCACTTGACCATCCCTTCCAATTTTGAGATAAACTCCTTGGAGTACTGTCATGAAATTATTTTCCCTATTTTGTTGATATGATGAGTAGCTTTCAGCATCTGAGAATTTGAAAGTAATTTGTTTTTTTATAAATAAGAGAGCACAACTGATAAAACTGTTGTCAGTGTGCTAAACATAGTTTTGATTCTTTTAATGAAAATTTGCTTAAAGTTTTTGGTTTTTAAGCTGAATGTACTATTTGAAAATCCATCGAGCATATACTTTCTTAGAGGCAGCAGAGACTGAATGTCTTTCTTTTGCTTTCCCTTTCTGTAGGTTGACCTCATGACGAAAATAATATGTGATTTTTATAAATATGTTATTTCTTTTTAGGTTCCAATCCTTAGTAAAAAAGAAGATGTTTTTGCATATTTAGCTAAATATTCAGTGCCAATGGTTCGAGCAACGTGGCTGATCAAGATGACCTGTGCCTATTATTCTGCTATTTCTGAAGCTAAAATTAAGAAACGTCAGGCTACTGATCCTAATTTGGGTAAGTGAGACAGTACAATACATTTTATATTTCAGCATTGATTGTACAAGGAATTGTTGCCCGCATGCTCTAGCCAGAGCCTGGCGAGGTGAGTACCGAGGAGGTCCGTGGGGAGGCTAAAAGTGACTCATGGCGTGCACGCAGATGGATCCTTGTTCACCCAGGCCCAGAATCCTGATTCCATCAGCAAATCATATTGCTGTTACCTCCAGAGTATGTCCTGCATCTAAACACTTCTCACCGCCATAGCTTCTGAAATGTTGGTTCATGCCACTGTCCTCTCAGCTGGAGACAGTGGTGGCCTCCTAACTGGTCTCCCTGTTCTTTCCCTCCTTACATTGTAGGCTCCAAACTGCCACGCTGATCACTAAGCCTGAATCCGATCACATCGTGTCCCTCTTGATAACTTGTCAATAGTTTCCTACTACAATTAGGATAAATATCCAGATTCTTTCCTGTGGCCACCGAGGCCATCCATGCCTTGCTCTCTCTATGATCTGGCAACATTGCCTTCCTTCTCCCCCTCTGACACGCCACGCTCCTTCCTTTCTCAAGGCTTCTGCATTTCTTCTGTGTACTTGGGCTGTTCATCTGTATGGTATTCCCACATCTCCTCTTCTCAGAGCCTTTGGCTCGAGGGCCATTTCCTCAGGAGGTTTTCTCCAGCCATCTGCCTAAATAACATTCCTGTTTTCCCCCTTCTGCCCATTTATGTTCTCAGATATTCTTATTTTATTCACAGCATGTTTCACTATTTGAAATTATCTTTAAAAAGTGCTGTGTCTCTCACCCCTCCCTCCCACATGCACTGGCCCATGATCATGGTAGGTATTTGTTGAAAGAACTGAAGGTAAACTGTTTTTAGTCCGTCTTCACTCTTTTGGTGGCTAGACAGTGACTCCTTGAGGTGGTGCTAAAACATCCTTAATAAAAGACTGGATCCTCCATTAGAAATATGCACAGAGGATTATATGTAAAGATGTCCACTTAAAGATTAGGTTTACAAATAATTCTTTATGAAATGGAAACATGCTTATGATTTCATAAGGGAGACCCCAGCTGCAAAGCTCTGAGAAGCAGGGCAGAAAGTGCAAATGTCCTCAGATACCAGGCAGCGTCCTAAATAAGTGAGTCAGGCTGTGAGGTGGCTGGGAGTGGTAGGTGGTCCTGGCGAACTGGTCAGTGGAGCCCACTCTAAAAGCATGGAAAGTTAATCAAAACAAAACTGAAAACATGGCTGGATTCCATGGCTGCCACCTTTTGAGTTCAGGTTTGCTAAAACAAAGGTGAACTGTACTTCAAAACAGAACAAAACTGTATTGTGTATATATTTAAATGTATAGGGAAAAGTATCTAAAAAGTGAACAGTGGTTATCTCTGAGTGCTGTTTTGGTAGCAGTCTTGTTAACTTTATACTTCAGATTGTTTTCACCAGCTTATTTTTTTATAGGGGGAGACAAAAGAAATGCCCCCTTTTTAAATTACAGAAGCTCTACATTCTTATTAAAATATTTGCAAATAGTGCCAAAGTAGATACAATAAATGGTCAAGTTTCTCTTCGCTCTTCTTCATATTTTCCTTCTTGAACTTTCCTTCATTCATACACAAAAACACATATATGTGATTCACATACATCTATCTATCTATCTATCTATATGTGTGTATGGAGAGAGAGAGAGAGCGTGCGCGTGCGTGCCCATGCCTCGAGAGTGCAAGAGAGTAAGCATGGGTAAGCGAGCTAGAGCGTTTGTTAATACTTCTCTCCGGGGTCTGGATGTCTAGTTGCTTATACTAGCTACCTCTACTTTGATGACTAATGGGCATCTGAAACCTAGTGTATACAACCAAAGTCTTGATTTCTCGCCATCCCTAACCTTGCTTCTTCTTTCTTCAGTCTTCTTACTAAATGTTATATGTAGTCACTGGGAGGCTAAGGGTAGAAGCCCTATTGTCATTCTGGCCTCTTATCTTTCTCTCAAAATTCTACATTCAGCCCCTCAGCAATCCTGTCAGCTTTACTTTGAAAATCGAATCCCAATCCGAGAATGTCTTCCTCCTCCCACTGCTGCTAGTCCTCTGGTTTGAACCACCGCCTCCACCTTTGCCCGTGCTGTTGGACCGGCCTCTAGCTGATCTTGTTTTTGTTCTTCTCTAATGACAGCTTCCTGCTCTGTAGCCAGCATGCTCCTGCTAGAACCTAACTCATGCCACACTCTTAATGCCGAATCCTCACCTGGCAGCTGCGCCTCACTCAGATGCGTGCCTCCGCCAGCACGAGCAGTTGGCACACATGGCGGCCTCTCCTTCCAGCCTTGAGCCTGCCGCCTCCACGCACTGTGTGTTAGCTCAGATGGCACTTCCTACGAGAAGCCTTCTCAGATCACTCCAGCCAAAATGTCCGCTCTGTCGTCTTGTCCTGCCTTATTATTCTTCATAACTCTTAGTACCACCTACCATGTTATATCTTAAGTTAATTTTTTGGTTACTTAATGTACACTCACTCCCGACTATAACATTTCTCCGTGAGAAACTTTGTCAGATTTGTTCCGTACTAAATCTCCTAGGAGAGTACCCGGCATACAGAGGTGCTCAGTAATTTTTAAGATAAATGAATAATGAGGCCTGAAGTGTGTGTGTATTTGTCCCAGTTCATAATCCTTGAAACTTGTAGCATCACCAACTGTATAGACTACTCCTCCTTTTCTTAGGTTCTTTTCATGGTTTTGTAACTTGTTCTGTCAGTGTTTTCCCTGATGTTCAGTTTAATCTGATTTTAACTGTTATAAGAAAGGGGAAAAGGTGATCATACAGGAATGATTCTGCCCAGTGAAATATAATTTTAGGACGAATAAAAGTCTGATAGACCCTCATCATTTGCAAAGAACATGTAGATAGAGTTTTTAGGAATCTCAGATAGGAATGTATCACCAGAACCATATGATTTCCTCTACCAAATGGAAGGAAGCCTAGCTCCAGTTTTGAGCTTAGAACATCAGAGACTTCCTGCATTCATTACTTTTACCATTAATTTTTTTACTAGTGTAACCAGTCGGTTGGGAGGGGGGATTATTTTCTACATTTCCCCCAGAGCTAAAATTTTTATTATTTGCACAACCATGACAGATGGTTAAGTTCACCTACTAGCTGTGTTTTCTTTCATTGGACGCATAACACAGGTGAATCTGTTTTTTGACTGTTTATAAAGTATTACAGCTCATTGGTCTTTATGATTATCCATGTGTTTTTTTCTTTTTCTTTTTTTTTTTAATAGCACAACTGGGGGGTGGAGTGGGTACAGAGGGGGAGAGAGAATACTAAGCAGGCTCCATAACCAGTGTGGAGCCCAATGCAGGGCTTGATTCCATGACCCTGAGATCATGACCTGAGCCGAAAGCAAGAGTTGGTCGCTTAACTGACTGAGCCACCCAAGTGCCTCTATTCATGTGTATTTCTTTTTTTTTCCTTTTTTTTTTTTTAAGATTTTATTTATTTGACAGAGAGAGACACAGCAAGAGAGGGAACACAAGCAGGGGGAATAGGAGAGGGAAAAGCAGGCTTCCCGCTGAGCAGGGAACCCAACGCGGGGCTTCATCCCAGGACCCTGAGATCATGACCTGAGCCTAAGGCAGACGCCTAACGACTGAGCCACCCAGGTGCCCCTATTCATGTGTATTTCTAAGTGTGAATGTCAAATCCATGAAGATCAAGTGCCTAATATACCATTTTTCATGGTAGAGTATAAAAACTTTGACCTAAAAAATGCTTAAAGCTAAAAATAAAAATATTTTAAAAAATGCATGAATTTTGGGACTTGACCCCTAACCTCTTAGGTCTAGCAAATCAGAAAGAGCTTGGGCTTTACTCATCCCAGCTCTGCTACTAAGTGACTGTTGACTTAAAGCAGAATCCTTAGTCTCTCCAGACAGCAGTCTTCTCAGCCTTGATCCAATCCAATCCATGTTGCCTTGAATTTCATGTCTTTTTAGTCTTCTTTTAATGAAGAACAGTTCTTCGGCCTTTGTTTTTCTTGATATTTTTAGAGGGGATAGACCAGCTATTTTGTAAGGTGTCCCTTGGTTTGTATTTGTTCATTTCCTCATGACTAGATTCAGGTTATGTACTTTTGGTAGGAATGCCATGGAAGCGATGCTGTAAGCCTCTCAGGACATCATATTACATTGTCCTAATACTGGTGGTGATAACTTAGATCTTTTGGGTAAGGTGGTGTCTCCCACGTTTCTTCACTACAAAGTCACTGTTTTACCCTTTGTAGTTAATAGCTAATTTATGTAGATATCTAATTCATTTTTCTGTATTCTTACATGTGTTTTAAAGTGCACATGTAGCGTACTGTTTTTACTATCTGCAGAGAGCACATGGTTTCAGTGATCTGATCTTGGTTTTCTGTCACCCTCTTACACCTGATACCTCTCACTCTCTGCTTTGTCTTCAGCACTTTCTTCAGCTTCTTTAAGCAAATTATACAGTGCATTTGGAAGCATTTGGCTGTGTAGACCTAGCCATAAGGTAGCAAGTTTCACACTCCAAGCAAGCTATACAGCCAAGCAACTACACACACACACACACACACACACATATATATGTGTTGAATTGGATTAAATTGCATACACTTCAGAAGATTAACTTGCAGTAATAGGTTCTACGTTCTGGCTTTGATAGTGAAAAGAATCATTCAGCACATTTGGGGCAAGATTGACTATCAAGTGTCACCTTTTCCTGGCAGTGGTTTTATGACTTCTGTAGTCTTAATGATTGTTCTTAGGACTGGTAAAGTGTTTTTGGTAGAAATGGTCTTTATTCCTTTGTAATAGAAACATATGTTTTATTTTCAGTTCCCACATTCAATGTTGGAACAGAGCTATAAAGCACTGCTGTTTGATTTTATTGAAGAGAGTTTTTCCTAAAGTTAAGTGGGCTAACAGCAACAAGGGAGCAGGCCCCGTTGTGTAAATTCTTTAAAAGTAGCAACACAGAGATTG